AAATTCGATACTGCCGTGGGTTGGAAATTTCAGGGCCAACAGAAGCCATTAAAAAAAAAAAAAAAAAGCTAGATGGAAATCTGCGAAGCGCACAATTTTCCGTGTTAAGTTAAATGACTTTTAAAAATCAAATTATTGTTGGCTACAATTGAGTGACGTTTGTATTAGATTGCTTGAAAATTGAGGGAGTTTTTAGTTTAAGTGGCTGTTAGAAATCGCCTACGACAATGTATGACGAACAGAGGCCGCCATTTGAAGGACGTCACTTTTAAAGCCAAAATGAATGAAAACTGTAGCTCTTTGTTTAACTGATAGCGAAATTATTTTTTAATAGCAGTTACTTTGGTCTTTCTGTCAACCTTTAAAATATGTGATGTATTTCTACCGCACACTGTATATGTGTATAATTATATATGCTTGTGTATATCAATGTAGTAGTAGTGATAACAGTATTAGTAGTAGTATTGGTGGTAGTAGCAGTATTAGTAGTAGCATTAGTAATAGTATTAGTAGCTGTATTAGTAGTAATAGTAGCAGTATTTGCAGTAGTAGCAGTAGTAGTAACAGTATTAGCAGTAGTAGTAGTAGCAGTATTATTATTAATAGTAGCAGTATTATTATTACAAGTAGCAGTATTAGCATTAGTAATAGTAGTATCAGTATTATTAGTAGTAGTAGCAATAGTAATAACAGTATTAGCAGTAGTAGTAGTAGCAGTATTATTATTAATAGTAGCAGTATTATTATTACAAGTAGCAGTATTAGCATTAGTAATAGTAGTATCAGTATTAGTAGTAGTAGTAGCAGTAGTAATAACAGTATTAGCAGTAGTAGTAGTAGCAGTATTATTATTAATAGTAGCAGTATTATTACAAGTAGCAATATTAGCATTAGTAATAGTAGTATCAGTATTATTAGTAGTAGTAGCAGTAGTAATAGCAGTATTATTAGTAGTAGCAGCAGTATTAGTATTATTATTTGTAGTAGCAGTAGTAGTAGCATAGTAGTAGTAGCAGTAGTAGTAGTAGCAGCAGAGGTAGTAGTATTCGTAGTAGTAGTAGTTGTTGACACCCGCTCACAAACGAGCATCAGATTCGTCATCCCCTCTCCTTATTTCCGGTGTCGATGGCGGAGATTGCAGTGAAGGCTCAGCTTGCTCCTGAAGAGTCGTGCACAGGAGTCGCAGAGGAGTGTGGGTGGTGGACACGTCTGGGCGAGTCGGGCCCACCTGACAGCACGTCTCAGATCTTCATGTTGACGGTTGGATTCGAAAGTCTCGGTCCCCAATCTGATGGTCCCACGCCAGTAAGACCGATTTATGTGTATCTATGTACGTATGTATGGAAAATACCCGAAGGGGTCTTCATGCTAATTTCCCTGAAAATCTTGCTACAAAATTTGACCTAACGTGTAATGATTGTGGGGTCGCGTCTGTTTAAGTGGGAAAAGCTTAATATAAAAATAAAAAAAACATCAAAGACTCCACACAGTGAGAGGTCATTCGTTACACGTCAAGCGGGATTAGAAGTCCAACGTTGCTACATCTGAGCAAGAGGACGTAAGGCCCTAGCAGGACTAAAAAGACACATCCATATCCCAGCTGACCATATTTGAAGATGGATCAAGCGATGGTATTGCTCAAAATCGAGTCGCAGCCATCATCGATGTATTTACGATTTTCGATCAAAAGGTTTCCGGACTAGTTCTGAAGCGCGCCAACAGATGGCAACACACGGTTGCGTGCGCAGTTTGGGCTAGCAGTGACCTTCATACGTCACTGTGTTCACTTCGCAAGTTGTGTAATTTATGTTTTTCTGATCATGTGCATGCTATAGCCTTTGATTTTGTTATGGAAAAACATTCTCATGGTTTTCTTTCGTTTTCTGTTTTTTGGGGGGTTTTTTTTTTTTTTTTTTTTTTTTTTTTGTTTGTTTGTTTTGGTCATCCGCAGTATTGTGTATCGAGAATTCGCTGGAACGCTGGGATGGTTGTATTCCTGCAAATATGGTGATGTTTATATATATAAATATATATATATATATATATATATATATATATATATATATTTATATAGTGTACCTTATTGAAATTGTTTGCGAAGATGTATTCTCGCCATTTAAATCATTAACCTTTATAAATGGCCAGACCGTTAATCAAGAGTTTTGCTGCAACGTTTTGAGGCCTTTGATTGAGGACGCTTGGAGAAAGCGACCGGATCTGTCGTTCGCGAAGAACTAGACTCTTTACGAAGGCAATACACCCTATCGCCGAGCTCACCTCACTCGTGAGTTTCTACCCTAAAATAATATTGTATCAATTCTGCATCGCCCTATTCGCCAGACTTAGCAATTTTCTCCGATCTGAAAATGCGATTCAAAAGTCGCCGTTTTAACACCGTCGATTCCGAGAACCAGAGCGAATCTCAGAAGATCACCGACTCGCTTACGGTGAACGATTCAAGGCCGGATTCCCAAAAATTGCTGGAACGCTGGGATGGTTGTATTCCTGCAAATATGGTGATGTTAAAACTATATATATATATATATATATATATATAGTTTTATATAGTGTACCTTATTGAAATTGTTTGCGAAGATGTATACTCGCCATTTAAATCATTAACCTCTATATTTGTTTTTTGTATGAATGATTCATGTAAATATATATATATATATATATATATATATATATATATATATATATATATAGCATAAATAATCCGGGAACTTTTGATACGTCGTATGTATGTATGTATGTATGTATGTATGTATGTATGTATGTATGTATGTATGTATGTATGTAGAACGTTCGCTGTCTGACCATGAGACCGGGGTTCGAATCTCACCATGCACGATTTGTCAGGAAGGAGACCTCCTGATGTTATTGGTCTGTGGAGGGGGGGCGATCCCAGGGTGCGACATCTTTGGAAAGTATCTGAAAACCATACCACGGATTTGACTCAAGCCTTGTGAGTGAAATTGGCTAGACGGAACCCTTGGATGTCGTTAGCACGAAGTCACAAGTCATCGTGACAGAGGGTTTGAGAGTGCTGGCCTTGTTCAGATTGTTGATCACGCTAGATAACACGCTCTCTCTCCCAGAAATTGTAAGCAAGGTCTGCTCAGCGTAGTTGCATATAAATCACAGGTTGGCTCTGTGGGTGTTGAACAAACACAAATGTGCCTGAGCGAGTGTCTGAATTAGGGATGGGCTAGCCTTCCCTAGTAGACGGGTATCCTCAAATACGAGTGGCCAGCAATTATTTTTATTATTATGTATGTATGTATGTATGTTTGATTGAATGGTTCTGTGTTTAGTTGTGCGTACGATAGTGAGTGTAGATATACGTATGTGTGAATGTCTGGGTGTTTGGATGTGCGCGATTGAGAGAGAGAATGTGCCTGCGTCTATACGCACGTATGTGTGTGTGTGTGTGTGTGTGTGTGTGTGTGTGTGTGTGTGTGTGTACAACAATTGATATGGCGGATCGTTTACATGTCGCATGTCCATGTTGTCTTCAGAAACTGCTCGGATTGATTTCAGTGTCGCCAATTCACTGTTTAAGAAAAAAGTCAAAAATGTTTGCACACGCATGCGCGACATTACTCACCAACGAGTTGGTTGTCGGCTATTTGAGCAGAACAACAGGTGGCAGAGGTGGGCAGAAAAAAAGAAAGAAAGAAAGAAAGAAAGAAAGAAAGAAAGAAAGAAAGAAAGAAAGAAAGAAAGAAGGTATGCGGAAACAAAGGATGAATTTTGGAGAGAAACACAAAAAGATATGGGGAAAGAAAAAATGACATTTCGAAAGAAAGAAAGATAGAAAGAAAGGGTTTTAAAAAAGGTATTCGGAAAGAAAGAACGAATATTTGAAAGAAAGACAAAAAGAAAATGGCATTTAGAAAGAAAGAAAGAAAGAAAGAAAGAAAGAAAGAAAGAAAGGGTTTTAAAAAAGAAGGTATCCAGAAAGAAAGAAAGAAAGAAAGAAAGAAAGAAAGAAAGAAAGGGTTGTAAAAAAAGAAAGTATTCGGAAAGAAAGAATGAATTTTGGAAAGAAAGACAAAAAGATGTGGGGAAAGAAGAAAATGGCATTTTGAAAGAAAGAAAGAAAGAAAGAAAGAAAGAAAGAAAGAAAGAAAGAAAGGGTTTTAAAAAAGAAGGTATTCGGAAAAAAAGAATGAATTTTGGAAAGAAAGACAAAAAGATACGTGGCAAGAAAGAAATGAAATTTTGAAAGAAAGAAAGAAAGAAAAACAGTGAGGAGAGTAAATAAAAAAAGGGTTGCAAAGGAAGAAGGCATACGGAAAGAAAGAGTGGATTTTCGAAAGGACGAAAGACAAAAAGATATGTGGAAACAAAAAATAATATTCTTTTAGTGGTAGAGAAAAGAGAATGAAAAATGAAAAATTACGTGAAGTTTGATTTTACGACTTTCCAACCCATGATGAGTTATTTTGATACGAGCCACCTAGTGTGAACCAAACTCACAACTCAGACTAGCCTCGTTAACCATTACTCAAACCTGGTTGCTGTTTGGTTGATTTTACGAGTTGCCAGTTCTATTTTATGTCGAATTATTTGTGTGGAGCACACAGTGCGAATCATAGGCACTACTCTAATAACGGTTAACCAGACGAGCCTCGTTAACCGTTACCCCATTCAGAAGCTCCCGAGAACATAAAGAGAACCTAGGTAGAACGGGAAAAAAAAAACAAGTGTAAGGTGGGCTTGGTTTTGTTTAGCTGCATATCAACACCTCTGTGGGTTATTTAATGCCGAAATCTATATATTTTGTACGCAGTTCTATAATCTCTTTGGAGATAATAATGGTTTTAACTATACAAGTCTTATTTAATCCATAGCTGGGGGAGAAGAAGTTGATTCATACTTTTCCCAACGGTATTGGCGCATAAGTAAATAAAACGAACCCAACCAGAATTGGAACTCGGCTCTCCGATTAACAATTCCGAGCCATTATCCATTACACCACCCGCACATCCAAGCTTACAACACCTGGTATTCCCAAGTGGTCAGCCATCTAAGTACTGGCCATGCTCAACGTTGCTTAACTTCGGTGAGCGTACGGAAACCGGCGTTTCAACGTGATGTGGGTGTAATCCGTGCGAGGAGGGGGATATTAAAGAAAAAAAAGAAGATTAAGAATAAACTAAAGGTGGTAAACGAAAATTGAATGAGAAAAAGGTCGAGCCTCGTTAACCATTACCAAATGCAGAGGCTCCCGAGTAGTAAATTGAACCAAGCTAGAATGTAAAAAAATGACTGTGGGGTGGTAATACGTAAAAAAGAAGAAAAATGTCTGTGGGGTGGTAATACGTAAAAAAGAAGAAAAAAATGACAGTGGGGTGATAATACGTTAAAAAAAGAAGACATGACTGTATAATATGCATTAAGGCGGTAAACGAGAATTAAACGAAAATGTATGAGAAAGATAGAAATATTGTATAAAAAGGGAACAGAAAGTTCATGCCTTTACAGCTAGGATGCGCCATGCCACTTCCACAAAGTCGAATAAACTCCGTATTTGAAATGCAAGAAGAAACTTCTACTCAGAGAGCTTTTTTTCTTTTTTTGCTCAAGAACTGTCACTTTGAGGAACAGACTCCTGCGTGAGTGCTTCCTTGAATCACATCAATCTTGACCTCTTCAAATTAAGGGTCAATCGTCATCTATCCTCCTTAGCCTCCTGAACTTGACACAAATTAAGTAAAATTCTCTTTCCAGAATTGATTGAGTTTAAAATCTTTAAGGCGGTATCGTGGGGGGAGGGGGAAGACGCGCTCTCCACCCGGTAACTTCATTTCCCATCGACGCAACATGTTCTTATTTCCATGGCAAATTACTTAGATAACTTCCAATATGTGGTCCCACCCGTCGAGACCTTTACAGCTAGGACACTCCATGCCACTCCCACTGAATCGAATCAGCCTCATTTACCCCGTGTCCCTAATATAAGAAGAAAGCTCCACTCAGATTCTGTGCAACACACTCCCGCGAGGGTGCTTACCTGAACATATAATTACTGGCACAGGAGTTAACCATTGAGGGATTACTGAGGTGTGGTTAATGTCCCGCTCTGTAAGTGAAGTTATGATTCTCCTCATTCTAGACGGGAGAATATGCTCAGCTCCGGGGATTCCAACTCTACAGCAGCACCTTCCTCATCACACTGAGGTTGGATCAGGGTAATACCGATGCCAACGTGACAGTGGTCGCGGAGGCTGGGCAAAAATCACTTTTTTTTCATTGGCCCATATGCGTAAGTATGTGTACGGCGCTCCCCCCCCCCACACACACACGTTAAAAAGACATTGTGTCACATCCGGCCTTGATGGGGAGGCTGGGTAAATATACTTACCTGAACATTTCAATCTTCATTTCTTCTTCGTCGTCTTTGCCCAGAATTAAAATTCCCTACCACCGTCTCCGCCATTCAGATCACACAAGCCATTCAGCATTAGGCTTGTAACTGCAACTAACTCTACCTTTAGTATATCTCGAGCCTTGGGTGTAATCTAGTAGCTTCAAGATAAAAGAAACACTGGTCGAAAATTAATAATAGTGGATAATGTTTCATATAATACTAGCACTAGAGCCCGGCGTTGCCCGGGGATGTAACAGTAAGGGATAGATCAAGTATCGACCATCATAAAGACTGAAAAATAAAATTGACAAAGATTATTGTTTAAGGTTGACGGACACGCATGTCTTAATTTGTTTTATTTTATTTATTTTTTTTTTTTTTACGAATTGGTCAAACCCAAACTCAAACAAAAACATTGTTTTCAATCGTTATGAGTCTACTGATTGAATAGAATTTTATTATAAACAATTGTTTTGTAAATAGAATTTTTAAAGCATTCTGAATGTAAAAATAAAGAAAAAAGTATGCAAGACAATAAGAAACACTACCAGCCAAAAAAAAAAGTGTAGTTTTGTTGAAATCGGTTGAAAAATGTAGGAAATCCGATCCCATATATAAACGAACACACACACACACACACACACACACACACACACAAACAACCTGGGTTTTATAATAAGTATAACTCGATATGAGTTGTCCCCCTTTCATTCTCGTGACAGCGATGCTTCTTAATCGTGTTTTCAAATTGATTTCGTGCAAAAACAATTGTGTTTTTACCAATTTTTGGCGCTGTCAGAACCACCGCAAGGTAATTTTACGTAGTCCTGTGAAGTTTTGTTGAAATCGGTTCAGGTAAATAAACGGCCTTTTGGCTAAGATCAAAGTGTAGTATCTGTTCTTATCAGCTTCATCTGATTCTCCCTCTCTCTCTCTCGCTTTCAAAATCGAGCTTCCTTTCTTTCTTTCTCACTGAAAGAGCATAAAAGCAAGACAAAGTGACAAAAACGTGAAAATTTCACGGTTTTCCTATTTGAATTTTCTGATGAATCTTAATTCTTCAGTTAATGATTGAATAAGCCCATGGCGAGTTCTAACGACAATAAAATATCCGTAGAAATTCTCCTATCGCGTCGTTCAATATTTGAGCTTAACAACTTTAACAAAATATTGCAATAACAATCATAAATATGAATGCTGGTCGTTATTTGAAGAAGTAAGAGGGTACAAATGAAAAGATTTGAAATTTGAAACTTTTCCCATTTCATTGAAACCCATTAAACACTTCTATCTTTTCTTCGTCCTTTTTTCTTTCTTTCATTTTCTTACTGAAACCAAGTAGCGTTTCTGATATGTCTATTATTTATTAGGTATTAGCAGAAGACGTTAAACACTATCATCCCTTCTTTCTTTCTTTTTTTCTTTCTCTCATTCATTTTCTCACTGAAACCAACTAGTGTCTTTTTCTCTTCCTCCCATGCAATCAAAACAAAATAATCCATTATTTATGAGGATAATAATTCGATATAATTTTCAATATATGCATTTTTTTTTCACAAGAACTGTCCCATTATGGAACATCCTCCCACATAGTTGCTTCCTGTACACTTCAAACTTGACTTCTTCAAGTTAAAGGTCAATGCGCCATCACCTTATCCTCACAATCTTCTTTTCCTGTTATCTTCACTTCCATTCATATCTTCGTTCAGTATTACCATCAACTCTCTGCCTTAAAGGTCTCTCGAGCCTTACACTGGGTGAAATTTAGCACAAATTTCAAGAAGGAGAAAAAACGGGGCTGTCTATCGCAGTGTGATGGAAAGCAAGTTTGTTTAGCTAGCTTTCGTTTGTTTTCGCTAGTTTTCGTTTGTTTTCGCTAGTTTTCGTTTGTTTTCGCTTGTTTTCGCTAGTTTTCGTTTGTTTTCGCTAGTTTTCGTTTGTTTTCGCTTGTTTTCGCTAGTTTTCGTTTGTTTTCGCTAGTTTTCGTTTGTTTTCGCTAGTTGTCGTTTGTTTTCGCTTGTTTTCGCTAGTTTTCGCTTGTTTTCGCTAGTTTTCGCTTGTTTTCGCTAATAAGATATAACAATGGCCTTGAACCAGACGAATTTAGGGTTAAACCGGAACCAGAAATCATCATTGCAAACTTGGTAAAATATAAAATTGTAAATGCTGATTTTCTTGGTAGACACAAAGGGGTTGAACCGCGAGGACACAAGGGAAAACCGATATTGATATATATATATATATATATATATATATATATATATATACTAGCAGCATGGCCCGGCGTTGTCCGTGGTTGATCCAAAAATCGTACAACTCATACAGTAATCGCTATCACTTGACTTAAAATATTTTTGCCCTTCCTTGCCTTTAAAGAAGTGCCCTTTGCCGTGCTGATGTTGCTACATGCCTTACTTCTTGCCTATCTCACGCTGCGAATTTTTCTAAGCTCTATACTAAACATTAAATTTGTTACGAAAAAAGAACTGAACAAAATGAACACAAAACGATCAGCTTTAAAAAAGGACTCGTAACTGGAAAAACCGAATGAAAAAAGAATGTTAACAACAAATACTTTTTCACACCCAACCCAGTTCTGCGGAATCAGAATCAACGTTGAGTTTAAGCAAGCGAATGAGCCAATTGGAGTAAAGTGCCATGCAGATTTAAATTTTTCCACTTGTGACGAATGGAACTACCGTTTTTTTTTTGGTTAACATTCGTGTCAGTCAGCTGGCCAATAGAATCTTCCTGCCTATTCGTGACAGCCAACTAAATGCTCTCATTCTGGCCAGTACAAAATGGCCGCAAAATACATGAAAACTGCCGTAGAAGCATGAAAAATCGATTATTTCCACCATCGATGGCAGCTGGGAAATGCAAAGTCGGTCTTGGCGTTTCCACTAACTTGGAGCATGTGCATGTAAATTTTGGTGCAAATCTGTCGAAAACTGCGTCCGTGCATTCGTTACACACAAAACACACATCCTGCCTTTTATATATATATATATATATATATATATATATATATATATATATATATACGCCAGCTCCGCCTAGACAGGCGTCTGATAACCTGATTGTTAAATCTAGTGCTTCCCAGGTTCGTTTTGGGCTTCACACTTGCCCCTGAGGAGAGACTCCCACCCGTTGGAATATTGGTTAACACAACTTGCACACCCGAAACCAGATATAATCTGGACTTGAGTCTTACTAAGATCAAATTAGTAAGCTTCCAGAAGAAAGAAACGAAAGAAAAAAGATAGCAAAAAAAAACAAGAAAAAATGATCGAAAATTCAAAAAGAATGAAGAAGAAGAAAAGTAAAAGAAAAATAAAAGAAGGAAAGAAAATTGAAAAAAAAGAAAGAACGCATTAAAAAAAGAATCGAAAAAAAAAGAAAAAAATGGGAACGAAAAATAAAATGAAAAACAAAAGATAAAGAAAGCAAGAAAAGAAAGAAAGTGAAGAGAAGAGAAGAGAAGAGAATAAAAGAAAAATAAAGAAAGAAGAAAAGAAATAACATGAAAAATAAAAAAGAAAGAAAATATTATAAAAAGAATGAAAGTTGGAAAAAAAGAAAGAATGTGAAATATATTAGAATAGAAAGAATGAAATTCGAAAATAAAGAAAGTATTACTTTACAATAGAGTATCAAATAAACAAAAATATTAGAGAAGTAAAAAAGAAACAAAGAATACATCAAGAGAAGAAAGAAAGAAAGAAAGAA